TTAGTAATCATCTTTTGTTATCAATTAAGTTCACGTTATCCTTTACTAGACTCTTATGTAAAAATCTTATCATAATAGCTCATAGGTGTTCATAAGTGAGAAAATTCCTTTACTTAGAAACAATAGCAAGTGAGTAAACCTTTCACTTTAACAATGCATTATAATCATGAGAAATACCTTCCAATCATATAACAATAATGTCATATCATACAAACTTACTTCATAGTTAATTCAAGTGTGGGGTTAAGGATGAGGGGACCTTGTCATCAACACCACAATAACACATTATAAGAAACATCATTACTATCTAAGTAATCCATCTTTCATAATTTAATTTAAGGTTGAATCAACATTCATACCTTTTTACCCTTCGTGGGACTTTATGCTTCAATCAATAATGCATAACCAACACATAATAAAAGGTAGTTCATGAAGCAATAACATAACTAACATCAATATAAACAATTGATATATTCATCATCTTCAACCGATTCACCGCATAAAAATCCAAGATTTATGAAATTAGGAAGAACATGGGTCCATGGAATTTCAAGTTAACAACAACAATTATCAATATTGATATACCTAAACAATATAAGTAATCATAATTAATTCTACTTGATTCATAAATTGTTTTTATCAAAGAAGACCCATGTGTAAAAAAAACCCCTAGATTTGGGAATTTTTGAAAATATTTTTGGAGGGACCTCTTGGGGAAAGGAATCCCAAAAAAGAAAGAAACCAACCCTTAATAAATATTTAGCCACGAAATTGAGTTGAAAACTTGGAGAATTGATTTTCTTCTTGAAGTTCAATGTCCTTCAATGGACGTTTTTGTAGAAATAGAATTTAGAGAGAGGTAAGAGCAATTGGATTTTCAATTTGTGGATTTGTTTTGGATGGATAACAGTGGTATAAAACTGACTTAAAACACATATATACCCATCCCCTAAAATACATAAAAAAACCTCACTTGGTTGGACCTTTTAACCAAGGAAAACTTGACTTAATTTTCTTAATTTCCATCGTGGATCAAGTACGCGTGGCGGAGGTGTTCCATAAACTTTATGGAAGTTTATTTTGGGACAGTGGAGTCTGCGACACAGACCAATATATTGGACCTTGGTGGAGCTAGTTTGTGACGAGGACATTCTCCCTCCAAGAACAATTTCTTGCTGGCCACGTGTTTGGTCCCCCTCAAGGACCCCTAGGGTGATCTTTAGGGGTTCACAACTGGACGTTTTGATCCTCTAAACATTATTTTATTTATTTGATGTATTTTTATAAGTTACCCTTGATACGAATCTCCCAAACCTTCACAAGACCTAAGGACATCTACTAGTTCAGTTTCACTAGTTTTCGAACGTCATGGTCTTTCCTTGATGTTTAGGCTATAAACTTCCAAATCAATTTAATTACATTATTTTAGGTCTTGAACACCATTTTAATCATTATTTGTTAGGCGAGGCTCTATTCTAGGTCATAGAATTTCTGTGGTGTTACACAAGCTTTTTGGACACAAATCTCCTGCTACTAAACAAGTACATGAAAGAGTAGAAAATTTGTGTAAAACGTCTCTATGGAATGGTGAGACACAAGTTTAATGGAAGGCACTGATTGCATGGGAAAGATTTTGGTTGCTGAAAGTATTAGGAGGAATTAATGTTACTGATAACTACATGTGGAATAAAGGAGCTATACAAAAGCACTTGTTGAATCAAAACAAGAAGAAAGATAAACTTTGGATTGTATGGGTTCATACCTTTTACCTAAAAGGTAGGAAACCTTGGAGAGTAAGAGTAAACTAGGCTTCTTGGATAGTGAGGAAAATTATTCTAGCAGGACATTGGCTTGATGAGAAGGGTTTGCAAATTGCAGAACACACGGAGACAAATGATTTTAATGTCAATGAAATGTATAAGAATCTAAGGGGTGAGAATAATAAGGTTACATGGAGGAGAATGATTTACAATAATCAGGGAAGTCTTTAATGGATATTTACACTGTACTTGGCTATAAATAGAAGACTATACACCAGAGATAGACTGAAAAATGGGGGATCACAAACTATATCATATGTACACTCTAAAAGGAATCAAATTAAACTCATCAACAGTTATTTTTTACATGTATATTCTTAAGAAGGTTGTGGCAAAAGCTCCTGAATTGGCTATCAATGAATAGAGTTATTAATGGATGGACTGAGGAACTGAAATGGGTTGTAGAACATGATTCAAGAAAAATAATACAAGTAGATATCTATAGAAAAACATTATTTGCAACACTCTACTACATTGGGCAAGAAAGAAACTACAGGATTTTTCAAAAAACACAGAGATGAACACTAGAGTAATCATCCAAAACATACATTGTAGAGCTAGTATGATACGTAGGTTTATCGGTTTTATGCACAAGCTTAAATTTTATCCTTATAACATGTACTAGCAAGAATAAACTTTTGAATTAGATGGACTCTGAGAGTGGAAGTTTTCCACATACAGAGTTTCCAACATTGTACACATTTCAAAATCTGGTAATAATAAATTATAGTTACCAAAAAAATATTGTTTAAATTTCTATTCCATTTTCAAGTTAAATATAATTCATTTTTATGTTTTTTTTCAAGTTATATATTATTCATTTGTATGTTTTTCTTACCGTAGATTTATCGTTCTGATTCTTAAAATTTTCATGCAACATAATCTCAAAAATAATTTCATCAGGGTTTAGGAGGTAGGACTTTTTTAATAATAAATTATCAAACCAACTATTGTCATGTTTATATTGCATATATGTCTACTTAAAATATCGTGAATTTGTAGATTTCACTTTTACTTCACATATATATAATCCTTCCCCAAATAGAAAAAAGTTACTTAATTGAATATTTCTTAATTTAAGAAACTGAAATATTAGTTTTGCTAATGGTTTTCTGTTAAACGTGGTTTCAATGTTTACACTGCTTCAGTTTTCTTTAGTTTCGGTATGTGATAAGCTCCTTTTTATATGAATTGGATAATTCCCTCAAATTTAATTGACTATTCAAACATATATATTCTTATAAAATAATTAGTCTAAGAGATATGAAAATTTATAGTTTGAATCTTTTGTACAACAATACTCAACTATTTAAACTTATCTTATTACTTGCACTCAATCATAAAATTAAAATGTTGGTGTTTATAAAATAAATGGGTAACAAAGTATTTTTGTTGGAAATTTAATTTACAATATAATAAGTGTAATTGATATCACGAGGCATTATCTACATATGATTTTACTATTGATAAGTTCAAGTTACTAATTAACATTAATTCCCCATGTTTGTTTGTTTTTTTTGCAGCCTAATTACCATATTAGATGCTTAGATGAAGAATATAAATTATGTTATTGTTTTTTTGGGGGAAGGATCTAAAAAGACTTTAAAGTATTTAAATTAGTACAAAACCATCAAAGCTCGACTTACCTCGTTGATTGGACTTAACAAGTCTCATATCAGACTTGTTTAAAGTTATTTTTGCTCGAGATATAAAGCATGAAAACAAGGCAGGAACTAAAGATGGAGAGAAAATGTACTACATGGGGTATTTTTAAGTGATTTTGAACAAAGTTTTGTTAGAGATTTTGTAGTAGTGAAGATTTTGTTAAGTTTGATGATGAAAATTCATTTTCCTAGCTATGAAAAGCATGGTAGATGTTGATTTTCTATTTTTACTATGATTGGCTAAAACCCTCTTCTATGAGTTTTGACTATGTGACTAATTGTTGAGTTTTGCGAAGTGGATTTTATTGGTTTGCAAATAATGGTGTTAATTTGAAGCGAGTGTAAAATTTTGTTGCGTTTTGAGGTCATCTTGCATGATTAGGGTATTAGGTTCAATGTTTTGTGCTTGCTCGAGAGAGAAGTGCAGGGTTAAAGTAATAAGCTTAGCATCCTTAGTGCTGGGTCACCCTGATTTTAGCTTGAGAGAGTGAAATATTGAATCTATTTTTTGTACCTTGCTCGATAGAGTAGATAAGAAGGTTAGACATCTTCAATCAAGAGTGTTGAAGTTCAAGAGAATTCAATAGAGATAAGGTGATTGTTTGTTAGAAAATTGCTTTACATATAGTCCTACCTATCCACAAAAATTTATCCCTTAGTGAGCATCAATGTTCATCCACTAAGTTGAATTCAATAACTGGTTGGTCAATTCCCCAAGTATTACCTCACTATTTGATCGTCTCGTGTTAAGTGTTAAATTGGTTTGATAATTATAACCAGAAATTAAAGTTAAACCAAAAAGTTGCATTAAGTTGTTAGTCGAAGTTGATGTTGTTATACTTCTATTATTGAATTTAAAGTAAAAGCTACTCCCTGTGGAATATATCCAACTAATTTAGTTGGGTTATTCACTTGCTAGTGATCATTGACACTTTGGATGAAGTTTCTTTGAAATATTAATGAAAATGGTGTCGTTGTCGGGGCGTAGCATTACTTAGAATTCTTAGATTGAATATTTGGTTTGTGAATGATTTTGTTGTAGTAGAATGTCTTAGGCTGCATTATGAAGTGTTGATTGGACTGCATAGAAGTAAAAATGAGTGAAGAAGAGGTAAATGGTAGTCAAGAAGGTCATCGAGACGGTATCGATGATATTAATAGTGTTTACAACCCATCCATGTGGGTTAAATAGGTGAAATTCGCATACCACAAGCTTATGGGAATGCCATATTTGAGGTCACTAGCAGGACTCTTCATCTCCTCCAAATGAGATGACTCTATGGAGGGCTAGAGTACGAAGACCCGCATGAGTATGTAAGTAGTTTTATTGTGGTGTGCAGGCCATTGATATTCAAGAATGTGCTGTAAGAGTCAATTCTCAAATTTGATTATTTCCATTGTCTTTGACGGGGAGGTAAACAAGTGGTTGGCTGAGTTACCAAATGACGCCATCAAATCATGGGAGGATTTGGTTTTAGTAATCAACAAGATTTTCTTCCCCACTTCAAAGATAGTGAAACTTAGAAATGACATTAAAGGTTTCAAGCGAGGAGAGGGTGAACCCATCCATGAAACGTGGATGAGGTTTAAGAGTCACTTACATAGAGTGCCCAACTCATGGGTTACCAAATGATTTACTACTCCAATATTTCTACAAAAATCTTGATTTAGTTAATGAAGGAGTGGCTGATAAATTGTTACGAGGGAAAATAATGTTGCAATCATTTGAGGTATCTTCATTTATTCATGAGTACATGACTAAAATAAATTAATTGTGATACACCCCATAGGATCAAGTCTCTCCATTTTGTTTTAGGATGACAGAAGAAAAACACGATAAAGAGAGAGATGGATGAAGGCATTAAGAAGTTGTTGACTCAAATGGATCTACTACAAGAGCATATGAAGGAGAATCTAGAAAAGCAAAAGGGGACATGTGAAGTGTTAAGAACATAGGAGGGGTTTTCTTCCAGTTACTCAAGTTCAGGGGATTATCAAGGTTGGAACTCCAAGAGATACAAAGAGGGTTTCCATCCACATTATTTATAACGGGGTGAGAATCAAGTTTGGAACTATCACAAGGGAGAAGATCAAAGAAGATACAACTAATATAGGGACGAACAAAGTGACTATTGGAGAAGGAGGAAAACCATGAAGTTTACCACACTCACTCAAGCGAGATCCCAAAATTGAGAGAGAGTACGAACAGTCCCTCTATCAATGATATTCTATCACACATCCTTGATAAATTTGAAGGTTCGGATGACATGTTAAAAGGAATCTGACTTTTGATCATTAAATAATAAAGTGAACTCTCATGAAGATGCAATCATTTTTCCGGAGCATTCACCAACCCTTGCACCATTGGAATGCTCCAATTGACGAAGGCCCTATACAATTTCGGAGAAAGCATCAAGTTGATACCATATGCAATTTATAAAAATGAGACTCTTGATGGGGGATTGCCCAATTGAATGATTTTTCTTCCCGACTAATTTTGTCATTTTAGATTTTGAAATCGAAAATTTATCCCAATATTTTGGAAGACCATTCTTGTAAACCGGAAGAGCATTGGTAGTTGTTGAGAGAGGAGAATAGAAGTTTCGGGTGAATGAGGATGAAGCAACCTTTAATATGTCTAAGTCGATGAAACACCCAAGTGATATTCCTGTGGTCACCACTATTTATGTAGTTGATGAGATTGTGGCTATTTTAAGTCATTTGATGTGTAGGAGGGAGCAACTTTAAGTTGATTTTGCTATTTATTATGAGTTCGAAATTCAAGGTTATGAAGAGGTAGTAGAGGTATAAGGCTTAGGGGGGGGGGTAGTCAAAAACTCCATTAAAGATGGACATTGATTTAAAAATCGAGAAATCCCTCCCGCACAGACATTAAAAGAAGAACCTCTAATCTAAATTTGAAAGTACTTCCCTCCCATTTCCGGTATGCTTTCTTTGGGGTAAATAATACCTTACCAGTGATCACTGCAGTTGATTTGCTTAAATTGGTAGATATAATTATTGCTTGAGGTGTTGACAAGGCATATCAAACTTATATGTTGGACTATCACTGACATACTGGGAATTCCTCTCGGTATTATCACTAAAAAATTTTAGCTTGATATTGATTGTTAAAAAAGTGTTGAATATTAGCGGAATTGAATCCACTGATGCAAGTGCTGGTGAAAATGAATATAATATAGTGGTTAGATGATGAGTCCATGATTTTGAATAATTTAGGGCTATATTAATTCATATTTTGTTTCAATAACAAATGAAAAACCTTGAGTTTCAGGTATTTAGATTTGGAGATGAAGCATGGATACAACTGAGCAAAAAGGATCAAGGAAGATGAAAGAATGAAGAAAGACGGTCTAAGGATCGCCTAATTGTAACACTCCAGAAATTCCATTACTTTGTATAGAGCCTCACTTGATGAACTAAGACTTGAAACAATGTTTATAATCTTAAAAAAAGGTAATAAACTCCATTAGGAAGCGTTAGAATCAAAACCTCAAGAAACGACCACGACGTTCAAAGACTAGTGAAGTTGAGCTAATGTTCCTTGGTGTGTTTCAAGGAGTTTAGAGAGTCTGATAATGTAACATCCGGGGAGCACCCCCTAAACATAACCGGCATCGTCCTCCTCCTTGATAAGTAAGACTATCCTCTTAGCATTCATCATGACATTCATTGGCTAAAATATGTGGAAAAATTAAAACTTTTTAACTATATCTAATCGAAGGTTTACATAGACCTTTACACACACATAATAGTACAATATCGAGTACACATAGACATGTTCGTATAGGAAGATTACTTAATCTTATACTTTTAGTCATACACGTATATAAGATAGAATTAGAGTCATAAAATCTATCTCATCTCATAAACCAGCTAAAGCAACAATACAACATGGGCATAGCCCTATAACAATTAAAGTAAGCCACAGATAGGCTTTATACCACTTTGTCTTCAAATGAAATATAGAATCAACATAAGTGTCATAATAGCTAAACAATCCGTCGGTAGAATATTGGCATCATCCTCGGGAAAATGAGGACCTACCACTGGCATGATAAGAGTATCCAAGCCTTCTTCCCAATCGCCTCAAACCAAACCTCAACGACTGGAACCTAAAGTGCTTGGGAAAAAGGGAGAAAATGGGGTTAGTACGCCAAATGTACTAAGTATGAGATCATATGCACATATAACAATCAAACATGCTAAAAAGGGACATTTAGTTAAATCACGCCATTTATATCTTTATGCACAATCAACAACTCGACTAACCAATTCGACATGCTTAGTAAAATCAAAGCAACAATATGCATATCACATATTTGAACCCATAATCTCATATAACCATAACATCAAGTAATCATATAAATAAGATTTAATCATGTGAACTAGTAAAGCAAGACAACCATACATAACCCTTATAAAGCCACAAGTTCAATGATCAAGTAAAGCCTCATAACCCTACTCAATCAAGTAACTAAACAAGAACCACAAATAGTAAATTACTTCACATAACATAACCTTCAACATACATAAGTCCATAATTTAATCTATAAGAACCATTTACTTGTTCATAAAAGCCATAATCATCATGTAAAGTCATTTAACATTTACCATCATTTACATACATAATATTGATCTCCTAAAGATCTTATCAAGGAAAACTAGTGCAATACCTAGGTAGAGTCCCATACCCCTACCTAAGCTAAGTATAACCTTTCAAGCCACCTTAGCCTATGCCTCATCACTTCATTTTTGTTTAGGTTACATTTTGCTTAACCGACATAGACCACATGATCTGATGTAGAATCCTGTGTCATAACCTTACACCGATAGAAAGTCGTCTACCGGCCAAGGTAATACCTAACGTAAACGTAGCTTTCTAGCTTGATCCACTAGCTAGTATTCCTGTAGAGGCAACATAGTTCAAAAACTAAGAGATAGGTAATTCCCTCTACATACTACTTGGTTGGGGCCTCATCTCATAGGAATCAATGAATTGAGTATCCCTCTATGGGGAGTCAACATCACATAATTGACCAAAAGATAAAACTTCCTCTATTAGAAAGCCATTACCTCCAATTGTCAAGTTCTTTAGTGCTAATCAAGCCCCTTATTAAAATATCTTTAGTCTTTATTTATCAATCATAACTTAGTTTAGTTCATAGGGTCTAGCCCTTGTACAATCATCATCATAATAGCTCAATAGGAATTGTATGAGTAAAAGACTTTCATCATAATTCACATAAGTAAGATTAACACTTTATAGCCTTTCAATAATAAATCACATTGGCAATCATCATCACCCTTATTACTTTACATATTAATCAACCTCACAACCATATAAAAATATTTTAATTCAACATCATTCAAACCTATAAATCCTATACAAAGCGTGCTCCAATACAATCATCATGACTTAATCACAATTAACCATAATTGAAACAAAGGATAAGGTCAAAAGACTTACCAAGTCTTCTTCACAATTTCACCATCATCAAGGTCTTACGATCAACCCTTGCTTTATCCCAATTAGGTATCAACTGACCAAAATTCAATAAGCAATGTAATCACAAGTATAGAAGAGCCACTACTTCACAATTCAATAAGTAAATCAACTTAGATTTAACCAATTCACCCTACCCTAGATCATCTATCAAGGACTAGCATGAAAGAATAATCATCATCCTAATTTGTTCATAGGAAGCATACAAACACCATATACAAGTAATTCAACCCATAGACAAGCCAATTGAATGACCAATTACAATCTAAACCAAGAACACAACCTAGGGTTAAGGACTTAGGAACACTTCTTTAATCTAGGCAAGATCATAATCAATTTCTTCATTTAAGTTAGAATACATGTTAATCAAATCATATTAACCCACAAGAAATATCATCAACTCAATCCATAACATCAATTTTGGAATTTGAGAAAACCCATTAGAAATCACTAACTTTTGAGGAAAGAGGTCTGAAAGGTGAAGAGATCGCATACCTTATTGTCTTGATGAGAAATTGAATATGAATCCACCCTTTTCCAGCCCCCAATTCACTTCCTAAGCTTTGCTTCAATGGAGTTTTCCAATAGAGAGAGAAAGTAGAGATATTTCTTTTAGAGTTATGTTTAGGTTATGATAGGAAAGGGACTTTAAAGGGTGACCAATAAACTTAATTAGACCTCCCTTAATCGTTTAATAAACCCCCTAAACTCCTAAATAACTTAAATGAACCAAATAAAACGTGACTCAAAGTTGACTGACCTCCCCAATAAGACCCTGTTGACGGTCTGTTGGTGTGTACAAACTACCCCTCTTTCCTGTTGCAAGTCCGTTGTCTCGGTCAAAGACTTGTGCAATCGGGGCTTTCTACTACTAGGATAAGTGTGTGGGATGATAGAGGAATTGACGCCCCATTAGTCCACCTACGACCCATTGTCCCTTCCGTAAGTACTCTTCCACCAATGGTTTGGCTAAGTGTTGAGGGACGGTGGTATCGACGGTCTGTTGGTCCATGCACGGGTCGTCAGTGTCTCCCGTTGATGCTAACAACCACATCCTATCCAAATGTGGAGCAACGGTGGCACCAACAGTCCATTGG